TGAGTCAGGCCCACCACTTACTTCAGGGTTTGTCTCAGACCTCCCAAACCCTGGCACCCCTGAGGGAACATGTCGTCCAGCACAAGCAGCTTCAGGTCCTGACTCAGTTGCTGCCAAGACTACAAGCAGGTGAGTGTGGGGGTGGGGGTTCTCTGGGCTCGGCTTCTCAGAGTCCACAAATACCCACGCTGAGCAGCAGCTGGGGCACTAGGGAAGTGATTACTGGAGAGATGCACCCGTCCCAGAGAGTAATCCTAACTTCAAGAGTATCTGAAATAGGGTACACAAGCAGCTCATTCTGGGCTTCTCAAGCACAGACATGGAAGTCAGCACGGACATCCCATTATGCGGCTGTGGCCATGGTGATTAGCACATTGAAAGGGCTTGGACTCTAGCTCAGAGGCAGAGCATGTGCTTAGTATGTGCAGGACCCTAAATTCAGTCCCAGGTATTCCCCCAAAATTACACACACACATACAAAGTTCAACAATACCTGCATCTCTATATATGCATCAATATATATACACATAAATACAGATATATATGTAGCTAACAAGGTGGGCGAATAGCAGTCAATATGGTCTCCCATTTATTTTGTCTGTCCAATAACATTCTTTTGAAAGATTTTTATTTTAAGTGTATGTTTGGGTGCCTGAATGTATGTATGTATGTATGTATGTATGTGTGTGTGTGTATGTGTGTATGTGTACCACATGAGTGCCTGGTACATGCAGGGATCAGAAGAGGACTTAGATCCCCTGGAACTGAAGTCACAGGCAGTTGTGAGTTGCCACATGGGTGCTGGTAGTCGAACCCAAGTCCTATGCAAAAAAGCAGCAAGTGCTCACAACCACCGAGGCCTCTCTCTAGCCTCCCACCCACCTCCCCAGCGTTCTTGATTTCATGTTCTATTGGCTCAGGGATTGACATATGGCCCAACTCTAGGCCATAGCCTGAATGTTCGGATTAACCAGCGCTCTGCTGTGCTCACCACTAAATATTTAAAACCTCACACACGTCTCAGGACCTCTGTGTCCCTTGCTGCACCAGCAGCACAGGTGGGAAGACTGAGACCTCAAGCGACCTCCTTTCTTCCCTAGTGCCAGCCGCAGTGACCCACACACAGACCCTGATCGATACTCAGAGATTCTTGGAGGCATATGTGAGCCTACGGGAGCTAGAGCAGCTGCAAGAGGAGGCATGGACACCCCTAGGAGGGCTGGAGTTGCCAATATTCCAGGGACTGGGCCTTCTGGCTGAGGCGCTGTGCCAAGCTGTGGAGGCAGCTGCCGGGGCTGCGGGACGACTAGCCCGGGAAGATCCAGCCCTGCTGGTAGCTGCTCTTCGTGTGGCAGAGGCAGAGACTGAGCGTACAATCCTGGGACAGACACCCCGAGACTGGCGTCAGCGATGTCTTCGGGCGCTACAGGAGGGCCTGGACCGGGCCCACTTCTCATCACCTGCGCTGCCTGAGCCAGGGGCCCTCGCAGGGTGGCTTGAGGCGCTGCAGGTAGCTCTGCCTGCTGAGCTGGCCACGGCTGAGGCCCTAGTGGCGCCCTGCTGCCCACCAAACTACAATGTGGTTCAGCTCTGGGCCCACACCCTGCACAGTGGCCTGCGCCGCAGTGTGCAGCAGCTCCTCTCCGGGCCTGAGCTGGGAGCTGCCGACACCTTTGCCCTGCTGCACTGGGCATTGCATGTGTACATGGGGTGAGTGTTCTTGGAGGCTTGGTCAGGGGGAAGACTAGAGGCTCAGGATGACATCCTGCTATCCATCTCTAGGAAGGAGATGATGGGGAACTTGGAACTGGGGCCTGAGGTCGACGTGTCCCAGCTACAGCCCCTCCTGACCCCGGAGAACATCGAGCAGCTGGAGACAGCGTTTGTGGCCCAAGTCCAGGTGACTCGTTAGGGCAGAGGACAGAGGTGCTCTGCCCACCGCTGTGACCACTGTCTCGTTGAATGTCTTGTCGATACCCTGATAGGTCTTGATGCTCGCTATCCTCTCTTCCCAGGTAAGTGTGGCTCAGTGGCTGCAGAAGGCACTAGATGGAGAGGTAGCTGAGTGGAGCAGGCAGCAGGAGCCCAACACAGACCCGTCTGGTTTCTACCATTCACCAATGCCAGCCATTGTAATGCAGGTGGGTGGGAAGTACCCAAGGCAAGTGGGTAGCTCCCACAATGAAAGGGAGGTGGGCAGGTCTAGGGGATTTCTAAAGGCTGCCCTCCCTGCCTGCAGATCCTGGCTGAGAACATTCAAGTGACCAGCCTGATCAGTGACTCACTGCATCGGCGGGTGCATGACACGGCACTGTCAGAACTGGGCGTGTTCTTGAGGAGGTTTGCCAAGCAGGGACCCATTCACAATCCCCGGCAGCCAAAGGGCTCTGAATGAATAGGGGAACCCCACGCCAGTGGTGAAAGGGTTCCTTTAAACAAGGACTTGGAGGTGGGGCTGCAGCTGTGGGGTTGCCCGAGCAGCAGCAAACCCAAGGGTCCCCTCTGCCCACTACAGCTTCAGCGATGCTCTGATCCACTTCTCTCAGGACCATCTCAGGGGAGAAGCCCCTCACTATGTGCCCTACCTGCTGGCGGCCTTCAACCACCAGTCAGCACTGAGGTACTACACTTGCACTAACATTCTTCTGAGTGCCTCAAACGCACGGATGCCTCCCACGTTTGACCCACTTTGGGCCCACAAAGGTGGGGTTCTAATCCCGGCTCTGATACTAGTTGTACCACAATGCAGCTGTCATTTTTCTTATGAGTTATTCTACTGTTACTTGGGTAACAGTAGAATAGTCTGAGATAATAAATAAAGATGTGAATATTTATATCCTTTTAGGAAATATTTATCAAGGCTTTACTCTTTATCAGATAATGTCTGAAGTTCTGAAGTTACAGCTATGAACTAGGAAATTTCCCCCGTGCTCCTCCTGTTTTGAGACAAGAGTTTCACCCCGTGGTCCAGGCTGGCCTCAAACTGGTAGCAATCTTCCTTCTTCAGCCTCCACCAGGCCTGGCTAACTTCTTGAGTTTTACGCCCTTTGTAGTAGGCACAAGGACAGACATACAAGTGGATTTTTTTTTTTTTTTTTTGTGGCGCCTGTTCTGGAACTAGCTCTTGTAGACTAGGCTGGTCTCGAACTCACAGAGATCCTCCTGCCTCTGCCTCCTGAGTGCTGGAATTAAAGGCGTGCGCCAACACCACCCGGACAAAGGGATGCTTTTTACTCCCTCTTGTCTAAAATTAGCTCCCCTCCCTTACCGAGGAGGAAACAAACAAACAAAAAAACAGAAAGAGTGACTTAACTAGTGCTTACTTTAGCGGCAAGCCCTCTGGGCACGCCTTCCTAACCTTTCAGAACACCTTCACTGAGAGCCACCCTTCCCGCCCCCACCCCACCACACAATATGCACCACAAGGTGGCGCCAGAACGGATGAATCCTTGAGGGCCATGCGAGCCTTGGCCTTGGTCCTGAAGTCGTACTTTTGGTTGGGCCAGCTCTTCGTTATCCGTCCTGCTGCCAGACGGGGAAGCTTCAGGGGTCTTGGCTCCAATAGAAGCCGCGCTGGACGACGTACAGAAGAGGATTTGCCGCCTGGTATTGGAAGCACTGCAGGCTGAGCTCCAGGTGAGGCTTCCAATCCAGCCAGGATGGGAGTGGGAGTGAGAAACACGGTATATTTATGGGGTCACTGCGGGATCCGGATCATTCCTCTAGTCTGTCTCTGCCATGCTTTCCCTAGCCCCTGTTCGCATCTCTACCCTCGCGCCAGTGGTTGCTGAGTTCTGAGTTGCTGGACGGTGTGTGTGAACAGACGTCGCACTTCTGCCAGGATTTCTGGCGTGTGCGGAAGCCTGCTGTTCAGGTGGAGCAGGGAGAGGAAGGTTTGGGAAGGGGCGCTGCTGATGCAATCTGTACTCAACTCAAACTGGTTACCTGCCCTGCAGCTGCTGCTGGCGGAGGCGGAACGAACCGTGGTGTTGCAATACCTGCGCGCGTTGATGCAGGGCCGCCTAGTGTGCCGTGGTGCTGACGAGCGGACCCAGGCGGCTGAGCGCCTTGGGCACGATGCTGTCCAGCTTAAGGAGCTTTTCCTGGGTTTGGTGAGAGCTCGTTGGGAGGGCAGGCAGTCTACAGTCTACAGAGAATCTCAGTAGACGGGTAGGAGCCGAGGGCCCGCTGGAAACCCTGTCCCAATGTGTTCAGGGCCTAGAGGAGAGCGCTCACTGCGCGCCGGTGCTGCTCGCGCTGCGGGAACTGTTCAGCCTCCACGACCCCACGCTGCTCGGCCTCGAGGTGGCAGGCCTGAGGCAAAAATTTCCTGACGTGAGGTGAGGTGAGGGGTACAGGGGAGGAGGAAGGAGCCGAGGAGGGCAAGGGCGGGGCTGACACGCATAGTGGTGTTCCTGCAGCGAGGACCACGTCTCAGCTCTCTTGGACCTGCGTGGGGACGTGTCCCGAGAGCATCGCCAGGCAGCACTCAGCTCTCTGCAGGCCGGCCCACCGCCCTCACCTTCCTCTGGCCGCCGTGCCCTCTTCAGCCTCGTACCGACGCCTACGCCCTCACTGTCCTCCTGCCTCCCCTCGGGTCCCTGCTCCTGACCCATCTGTCTGCGTAATAAAGCCACATCCACCGCGCGTCCGAATCTATATGTTGGGGCACGCGGGTGTTGAAATCAGCGCTGAAATTAGGGGTCCATGTCCAGTGATTATCCTGGCTGCAGTTTTAGTATTCCCGTAGCATCTCGCCTATGCAGACATTTGCTCTCTTTGTGAATTGCGTCCCCCGAACCCTGGGCTCCCGCGGAGTCCTCAGTACCCACGTACCCGCCCGCCGGCAATAAGTGTCTTCACCGCCTTCGCACGTAGCTTTAGAAGCCGGGAAACTTGTGGAGGGGGGAGGTTTAGGACGACCCCCTCGCCAGGGGGCGTGGCGTGGCCGTGATCCCGCCCTCTTCGCACGCCTGGCTCCGCCCTCAGTGGGCTTCAGTTCGCGCTACCGCGGAAACTGGAGTGAATCTGCGCATCTTCGTGTGAGCGTGCGCGCGCCCGAGTGCGTGCGTCTTTGGCGCCGGCTCCCAGAGTCTCGGAGGCCCGCGATCGGCTTTGAAGAGCAGGACTTGCGGACAGCAAAAGAGGCGCGAGCAGGTGGGGACGCGGCACGCGGACCGAACCCGCATCCCACTCCAAAGACCGAGACTAAGCATGCGACCTGACCCCTCTTGATTTACCGGAGAATTCCCCCACTCCATTGTCTTCTAGCCCCGCCCTCCATTGGGCACGCCCTTCACCCTATCCCACGCCCCTTATTGGCCTCCAGGGCACGCCCCCCCGGATCTCTCGGTTTCCATTGGCTCTTCTCCCATGTTAACCTCTTTCCAGGGGTTCTTATTGGTGTGGGCCACACCCTCTCATTTGTCACCAGACCCCGCCTTTCAGGGTCTCCATCCTCACTTTGTCTTTATTCATTCTGCCTCTAGTGAGTGCTTGGAACGAGAGGGTAAATCAGACCCTCCCTGACCTCGGGGAGTTCAGGGCATGGTGGGGAACATGGACCTAGCCTCCAACCGTGACAGCCTAGGGCTGTCAAGAAGCCTTCAGGACCCTGGAACGCTTTGCACGTCGGGAGGGCTTTCCAGAGAAAGTGAGGCCTAAACCGAGCTCTGAAAAATGGTTAAGAGGGTACTCCAGGGACACGTTGGCCAAAGAATTCTTGGCAGAAGAACGTGAGACATGAAAGAAACAGGTGCATTCTGGTAAATGCGAGGAGGTGGGTTGGAATGAAGGAAGGGAATAGATGAACTGGCCCAGGCAGTGGTCAACAGGCGCCCAGGAAAGTATACACTTTGAGGGCGAATAAGGTCTAAGACTTGCTGATCACTAGGCAAGGTTGGAGGAGGGCTCCGAGGAGAAAGATCAGGTCTAGATGTGGAATCTAAGTAGGGGAAGGAATGATTCTAGTTCTTTGTTTTTTTTTTTTTTGTTTTGTTTTTGTTTTTTTTAGGTTTGTTTTGAATTTTATTTCTTTATGGGTATGTGCATGTGCCTGTGGAGGCCAGAAGAGGGCGTTGAGCCCCCTGCCCCTGGAGTTACAGGTAGTTGTGAGCTGTCCAACGTGGATGCTAGGAACTGGGAGTGCAGCAAGTGCTCTTAATTGTTGAGCCATCACTCCAGCCCTCTGACTCCAGTTCTTACGAGGACTCAGATTCACCCATTTATTGATTACAGTGCTTTATCAGGAACTATTCTGGGTTTTGGAAACACAGCTGCAAATCCTGGAAAGGAGAAAGCAGATAAAATTACCAGTTATACCATACAAATGTAAAATTAACTGTTACACCTTACATGGCAACAACTGCTACAGAAACAACAACATAGTTCAGAGAGAGAGAGAGAGAGAGGAGATTTGTTCTTTTGTAGAGATTTGTTAGGGCTGATTTTCTTTCTTTTTAAAGCTTTGAAACATGTATTGCTATGAAGCCCAGTCTGACAAGGAATTCACAGTTCTCCTGTTTCAGCCTTAAGAGTGCTGGGATTACAGACCTGTATCACTACATCTGACAGAGGGCAGCTGTCCTTATTTATTTATGTTAGTATATGAGTTCTCTGCATGTATACTTGCACACTAGAAGAGGACACTAGATCTCATTCTAGATGGTTGTGAGCCGCCATGTGGGTGCTGGGAATTAAACTCAGGACCTCTGGAAAGAGCACTCAGTGCTCTTAACCGCTGAACCATCTCTCCAGCCCCTAAATCTTTTATTAAAACATTTTTATGCAGGGTGATGGTGGTGAATGCCTTGCCTTTAATCCCAGCATTCAGGAGACAGAGGCATGTGGTTCTCCAAATTCGAAGCCAGCCTGGTCTACATAGTGAGTTCCAAGAAAGCCAGGACTACACACACACACACACACACACACACACACACACAAAACCAAAACAAACCAAAAAAAAACCCAAAACTCTCTCTCTCTCTCTGTAGCATTTTTCTAATATATTTATGCAGTTTTTAGGAAACTGAGACAGTAACCCAAGCTATTCCACGTGGGACAGTGACCCATGCTATTATATGTGGGGTGGTGTCGTTATTTACACAATGGGCACATTCAACTTTAGGTACCTGCTAAATATTAACGATATCTTGAAGGTCAGGTATGTTGTCTTAATCCTGAGCCAGGACTAGAGAGGTTGAAACAGGAAGATTGTGAGTTGAAGATCAGGTTATCTACACAGGGAGACATTGTATTAAAAATAGATATGTATTGAAAGTAGCTATAGTGATCTAACGTTCATGGAAGGAGGCTGAACTGATGTATTTAAGTCCGTGGTCGTGAGAACTAGGGATACAGGCTATACTTACTATGTACAAGGCTCTGGATTTGATCCCCTTCATCAAAACAAAACAAGTAACCACAAAATTGGATGGGATCATAGGATGAGTATACGTGGAAAAGATAAGTCTGGGGATGTTACAGTGTTCAGAGGTTGGGAGATGGGGATAACTGACAAGAAGACCAAGAAGAAGCAGCCAGTGACATGGGAGGAAAGCTAAGTTCTAGCGGATTCAGAAAGGGTGGAGGGATCCACTGCACCAGGTGCTACAGAGCAACGTGATGGTCATTAGCGACCTCGGTCAGCTCAGTCTGATGGAGAGCAGGACATATGCAGGCTCCATGGAGTGAACTCAGGAGACGACGGGAAGGAAGAAATGGGAGATGGTGCACGTGACTCAGGGTATGGCGCTGCATCGGAGAGCAGCTGGAGGAGCTGTGTGTGGACTCATGTAAAGGCTTTTTTGTTTTGTTTTTTTTGAGACAGGGTTTCTCTAGCTTTGGAGCCTGTCCTGGAACTAGCTCTTGTAGACCAGGCTGGCCTCGAACTCACAGAGATCCGCCTGCCTTCTGCCTCCTGAGTGCTGGGATTAAAGGCGTGTGCCACCACTGCCAGGCCTTGTTTTGTTTTTTAAGACGGAGGAATAACAGCATGTATTTATGCTGATGGAATTAATCCAATGGGGAGGAAGACTGGTGGTGTACATCAAGGAGAAATCGAGTGCCTGAGCAGGCAAGGGAGTTCAGAGGCTGAAGTCCTCAGTCGGTCTCTGGGGAGGGAGAGACTAGATTGCACTGAGCCCTGGCACAGAGTCAGGGGTGAGTTCTCGTGCCTCAGATGACCACTGGGAAGATGTCTCAGATGGGAGACAGGCCAAGGGCTAATTTGAATGTACCAGTGTTTCTCTGATTCCCAAAAGCAGATTCTAATCCAGTTCTGGATAGACGACCACCAGGAGAGACAGTATTTCATGTGGGGACAGGCGTGAGGAAGGTGCATTCCTTTACACTGACTGATTACAGATGGGCAGGTGAAGGGGACAAAATGGGACCAAAAAGATGCCACCTGTACAAAGCAGTCTGTGGGCTTCCCTCACCTGTGGTCCATCTAGGGATCTGAGGCTATATTCTGCCAACTCCCAGGCTGGGTAAGTGCTGAGCACTGAGGTTAGAATCATGTTTAGGGTCTTAGTTTTAGCTCTAGATCTAACCATCTGAGAGTATTTTAGTAAGTAGGAAAATGTATAAAATTCTTCCTCTTGCTTCCACCTCAGACGATTTGGGTAAACCTGGTGAAAGGAATGGACGCTGGGGAGGGTGGACAGTTTCTCAGGTTCCTGGCAGCAGACCCTGGATCCAACAAGGCTAACGGGACACAGGGCTCTCTCCTCTGGCCACATCTACTCATGCCTGTCTCTGCATGCCCTTCTGTGTCTCTAGAGGTCAACAGTGGGAATTTGGAACAGCTGAGCTGGATGAAACCCTCAGGACAGAATGGTGCTGGATTCAGGGGCTCAGGTGTATGAGCGGGCACCCCCCAGCCCACCTGCCAGTCCCCCATCTCAGCGCCCTAGGTTGAAGCCCTCAAATCGAAATGGGCCACCCCTGTACCCCTGGCCGCAGTCCCTGTCTATGCCTTTGGCTCTGGCGGTTCCCTCAGCACTACAGTCCCAGCCTATGTGGCAGACCTTCTCAAAGCTGCATTTGGGACAGCGCAGCCACATGCGTCGCAGTGAGAGCACCTACAGTGTAAATAGCACTGGCCAGCGGGGGCGAGGCAAAGCTCCGCTTGGACGGGGATGTGATCCAGGTGGAGGGACCCTACGGCCTGCAGCCTCCTTGCCTCACATTGCTAAGACTCGAAAGGAGGTGGGCAATGGTAGCAACAAGAGCCCCTGCATGTTAGTGGCCCTGCGGCCAACCAACATGGACCAGGAACGGGAGAAATTCTTCCAGTCCCATTACACGTACAATCCGCAGTTCGAGTACCAGGAACCGATGCCAATGAGTGTGCTGGAGAAGTACCAGGAGGCCTCTGGACAGTTCATCCATCAGGTCAGTCCAGCCTGCCCATTTCACCCTGACCCTGACTGCCCAAGGGACCTAGTCTGACTAGTGACTGTGGCCCTGTGTATAGGCTGTTGGCATCATTGAGGCGGTCCTGGAGAAGTTTGGCACTTATGAACACTTTGAGGCTGCCACAGGGGGCCAGCTGCTGACCAAGTGCCAAATTTGGTCCATTGTGCGAAAATACATGCAGAAGGAGGGCTGCGTCGGGGAGGTAAGTTTGCCCTATCTATAGGACCCATCTCTATGCCCCAAACCAGGCCGTCAAGCTGATAGGCTCAGCTACACACCTGGCCAGATGTAATTCCTAGACATATCCCAGCCCCAGCCCCAACCCCAGCCCCAGAAGGATGGGTGTCCTGGTCAGTGTCTGGCCTGGCTGCCTTGTAGCATCATGGGCTTTCTGCCCACTAGCTCTCAGGGCTTGTAAACCATGACTCAGAGCCCTGCCACCCTGCAGGTTGTGGTGCACCTAAGCGAGGACCTGTTGTCCCAGGCAGTCATGATGGTGGAGAACAGCCGGCCCACACTGGCCATCAACTTGACTGGAGCCCGCCAGTATTGGCTGGAAGGCATGCTGCGGCACGAGATAGGTCAGTCTGTGGGTAGCGTTGGTGTGGGTGGGCAGGACTGAAAGGTACTAAGGGATGGTAACAGGGCAGTGTGGACTTCAGTAGCCTCCTTTCTCCCCTTCCTTCCCTCTGGGAGAAGACAGGCCTGTTTATCCCTAAGCAGATATTTCTTCCTTCTCGTTCAGACAAGTAGGTCAGACGTGCCCACCCACCCTCTGGGTTGACCTTCATGCTTCTTCCCTTGGGTATCTCTCCAGTTCCTCTCTGACTTCCTTTGACAGTGAAGGAAGACTTCAGAGGTCCTAACAGGCCGGGAAGAATTCTAAGGGTTCCATCAGACCAGCTTACTAACACACAGGCCCACCAGGGTGGGTGGCAGACCAGATTCTAGGAAGAGAATTGCTTGAAAAAGACACATGGATAAAAGTTTAGGAGATCAGACTAGGAAGGGGAGCACAGGACAGTAGTCACTGCCCTCACCAGACCAGATTCCTGTTGTTGTTCTGGGCAAGAAGTGATTTTGATTGGGGCATTTGCATGACTGTCAAGATGACTGACATGGGCACTAGGATGTTGGGGCAGGGTGTCACCTGCCTGGTCTCTAGGAGGGCTCGTGTACAATACGAGTTGGTGTGCAGGAGATGAGAAAATAGGCAGAGAGGATTCTGTGCTGGACCAAGAGTCTTCTTATTGCTGGAGCTGGGTGAGAATGCATTTAGGTAGGGCTTGGGATGACTCGTGGGGTGAATTTGGGGGCATGAAGATCTACGAGTCTCTACTAGAGTTCCTCGGAGTGCGTTCAGCCGCCCCGGCGTCCTCCCTGCAGGTACCCACTACCTGCGCGGTGTGAACAATGCGCGGCAACCGTGGCACAGCACCGAAGGCAGACTGCAGTATGGACTGCGGCCAGCTAACCCCACCGAGGAGGGCCTGGCCAGCCTGCACAGTGTGCTGTTCCGAAAGCAGCCGTTCCTGTGGCGAGCGGCCCTGCTCTACTACACCATTTACCAGGCCGCAAACATGTCCTTCCGCCAGCTCTTCCAGGATCTGGCGCAGTATGTGCAGGATGAGGCAGTACGCTGGGAGTACTGCGTCCGAGCCAAGCGAGGACAGATGGATACCTCCCAGCCAGGTGGGAGCTGCGGGGTCAGGGGAAGGCCCGGGCTGGTGCAAAGCGAAGGGTGGCTTTGGGGTAAGGACTTACAGATCCTCGTTCTCACAGGCTGCTTCAGCAAGGACCAAGTGTACCTGGATGGCATTGTGCGCATCTTGCGGCACCGGCAGACCATCGATTTCCCACTGCTGACCTCGCTGGGCAAGGTAAGGGGCTGTGGGCTTACAGAGTCCCCAGCCGGTTCTCTCATCCTCCCTGTACCCCTGAGTCATGTTCAGTGGAGGCCTGGATACCAGCCTTTCCCGGGGTAGGAACTTGGGTGGAGGTAAGCAGGCAAGAAGAAATGGAACTTTGATGTCCCAGATGAGGCGTGTGACCCCGCCTGCAGATGTGTGCATGTATTTCAGAGGAGGTGAGTGTTCCAGGACAAGGGAGCAGTCAGGAAGTTCTGGGGAAGGAGACTGGAGAAATGTCCATGGACCAAAACCTGAGTATTTGTACTAAACTGAGGAAAATAAACCTCATCAGAAGCGGGGGTGGGAGGGTGAGAGGCTATAATAAAGTGTGGCACAGCTTTGCTGTGGGAGGCTCCTACTGGATATCATGTCGGGGGCCATCTCATGTTGTATGTGGGAGCTACCTGAGAGATACCTAGGTATCAGATGAACATTGTTTAGAGGTGAGGGGATAAGCTGGGCTGGAGGGGAATGGGTTGTAGAACATATATGGAAGATGTAAAGAGAAAGAGAAAAGACCCAGGGCTGAACCTCAAGGTACCTAGTGGACTGGATCAGGACTAGAGGAGCCATCACAGGAGCCAATGGGCCCTGAGTTGTCAGTATGGGACTGGCTGCTTGAAAACCAGGGGCTATGATTAGCCCTGAGTCTTAGTTTTCTCCCGCTAGGTCTCCTATGAAGATGTGGACCAACTGAAGCCCCATGGAATACTAGATAATACCCGAGTACCCCACTTTATGAAGGACTTGGGACGCTACCGGCAGCAACTGGAACACATCATGGCTACCAACCGGCTGGATGAAGAGGAGCTGGGCCGCCTGCTGCCTGACTGATGTTGGTTAAGGGTTACAGACAGAAGATCTTGACAGAGGTCTCAGATCAAGAATACGAAGCTTTTTATGATTCCATAGCCTAGGTGTTTCTTGCGGGGCACTGGGAGGCCAGGAGCATCTTGGGAAGATGAGAGGCAATGTCAGAAGGCTTTTTTTTTTTTTTTGTCCTTGCTAGTCTTCCTGGGGCCTGTGAACTAGCAGCAGTATGTCCCATAAACTCCTGAGTAGGAGAGACCTGGGGATAGGAGGGACATTGAGTGTGAATAGGAATGGGGGTTGGTTTGGGAATAGAAACTTGTTCCTGCATGAGACGGCTTTGGGTGTCTGGTACCAGTCTTTCCCTTCCCCTACCTGGCCTATCGGTGCTCTTCTGCATTCATACTGTCTACCTCTCACTGGGTCTAGTGGCAGTTGGGACCCCTCTGAGGTGACGTGCCTGAGCATAGGGTCCTGTCTTTCATTCAGGCTCAGAGACCCAGCTGGGCTGGAGCTTGCTTTTCAGCATTTTGTCTCTCTCACCGGTCATGTAGTATTCCATATTTGCCTCCATGCCAACGTGCGTTATTCATGCCTCCAGCTGGGGCTGGGGGGCAGCAGCTCCTAAAGTTCAGTGGAGGGGACAGGGTACTTTGAAAAGGTACCATCTGTTCCCAGGCCCTCTCTGATCACACACAGACACACTGGACGCCAGGTCTTGTGAGTCCAGCACCTGGCCCCACCCTCAGCCCCCATGCTAGCCCCGGTTGTGCCTGTTTCTGACCACACCCTCACAGCTGGTCTCTGGCAGTGGTTGGTACAGGCTGGGGACAGCCAGTCAAACCTGCAGGTCAGGCCTATAGGATTTGTCCTCTCCGGTTTTGAGCCGGTCTTGGGCCCGGGGAAGGACAGAGCTGATGCCTTGGTTTTCACTTTGGATTCAGCCGTGAGAGACTGAGCCAGTATCGTCCCTACCCTGGCCTTTTCTTTTTCTCATCTGTGATGCTGGGGCGTTCTTGTTCATTGACTTAATAGATATGTCCAGAGCTCCTTGTGTGTGTGTCTGTGACTGGTTAGACCCCCGCTGAGCTCCCGGGCAGAGGAAAGCAGTTACAATGATGTATGTGGCTTCTGTCTCAACTGAAGTTCCCTCTCATGTCTCCCCCTTCAAGAATGTGAGCTCCACAACTTCCCTCATCAAGTGGGGGTTGCAGCCCTCCTTCCTTTGCTCAGTATGCCAAACCTAGTGATTTCCACGGAGTAGAACGGTTTCCAACGCAGGCTCCCGACTGGCTCCCTGAAGGGAAAGAGAGCAGTGGGGCAGGGGCCAGATTCCATTAGGGGCCTGGGTCTGAGACCTCCAGAAATAGTTTGGACTATTTCGGGGGTGAAATGTGGTTGCATGGATGGGGTGTTTCACACAAAGCTGCTCAGGTCAGTGGGACTCCAACCCACACACCCTCCTGAGCAGAGCCAGACTTGTGGAGAGTCGGGTCCAGGTTAACCCTCCCGAGTTTATTCATTTTGCGGTAAATGGAGTCTTGGTGTATTGATTGGGTCAAGCTCTGGCAGGTTCCCAGGTCTTACCCAGCTTGGGTAGGATTTGTACAGGTCAGGATTCTGGCCTTCAGGAATCTAGAGACCAAGAGGATGATGGTGAGTGGAATGTGTATCAACCCTCACACAACCTCTAACAAGCCTGTAAGCAAGGGTTTAGGCAGTCTCACAACCTTCAGACTCGTCCTCTTCTTGGAAGTCAGGCTCGGGCTCCGGCTCCGGCTCCGGCTCTGGCTCCGGCTCTAGTTCAGGCTCTGGTTCTACCTCTGGCTCTGGCTCCGGTTCCATTTGTTGTTCCGGGTCCGGCTTGTCCCCTTCAGAGGCTTCAGCATCTAGTTCGGGCTCCTCTGGAGTTACAGATTGCACTGCCTCAGAGCCCTCAGGACCTCCGACCTCCTCTTGCTCTGTAGCTCTGGGTAGCCCAGGACATGTGGTCCCTGAACTGGGTACCTCGGGCGTCCAGTGGCCCGAGCATGAATGGTCATGGCTGCGGTCCCGGTAGCCTGGAGAGGAAGTGGAATATTTGAGACTCAGTTCACCCCTCTGTGGTTAGCTACCTCCACATTCTCTGCCCTCTACTTACCCTTAGTTTTGCCTCACCCCAAGTCACGCCCCCATTTCAACAAGGCTCCACCCTCCTGGTGCTCACCAGGCCCCACGTGCTGCCAATCCCAGGCGGGGTCTGGCACACGCACGGTATGCTGGGCACAGCGCAGTAGCTCCTGGCAGGCTGCCTCGCCCTTGCTCTGCACCAACAGCAGCAGGCGGCGCACCCTGCGTTCAGCATCAGGCAGCGCATCCAAGGCTTCATACTCAGGCCCGGTGAGCACGCCCCGGGCCACCAGCGCGTCCAGCAGCAGCCCAGAGTCAGCCTGCAAGGTATCTACCAGCCGTTTCCGTTCCCGGTCAATGATCTCCGATGGCCGTTCCTGCACGTTGCCCATGTTTGGGCTATATCAAGAGGGAGAAAAATGGGGAGTGGGGGGAAGCTGGCGTTCCCACACACTGATCTCGCCCAGGAGTGATCTAAGTTCACCTCGACATCTGGATGGTTCTTCAGCGGAGGACCTGGAGGCCAGGAGCACAGAACTCATCCTCCAGCCTCTTGGTTGCTTTTGTCCTGACTCCTCAGGTTCCTCTTCTAGTATCTACCTGTCAGTGGAGTGCTCGCCCTAGCTAGGACTTCCCTCCTAACCCCAGCCACCTGTCGAGCTGGCCACCAGTCAAGATCCAGTTTATCCAACTGAGTTATTTTTTCTAAACCCAATTCCTTACCTTAACTGGCAGACAACCTTAGGACTGATCCACACCTCCTTCCGGAACCCTGCAGCAAGCCTTGGATCAGGGCAGCCCGCCTGATCTCTCAGACAGTCTGGTCTGCATTCAAAGCCTAAAGTGTTGAGGCGCACATGCTCCATTCCCCTAACCCTGAGGTCCAGGCATAACAGAACCTCCCCTGTTCACTCCCCACCACACTGCAACTTCAACATGATCTGCGACTCCTCCTGGTTCCTTACTATCCCAGCAGCAGAACTACCGAGTTTTCCCGAATTTTGACAGACATTCCAGCATGTTTCCCTGACAGCCTGGCACTGGCTCACAGCCATCTCTTACTTGACCTTGAGATTCCCAAGGTCCAGCTCTGAAAAGCCCTTAAGGAATGCTTACCAAACTTTTAGCTTCCCCTATGTGGATTATTATTATTATTATTTTGAGAGGTTGCCTCTACCAAACTGTAGGAACTGGGAACAAATGAATCTACTCTGCTTGTCCATTATCAACTGAGGACTACTGCCCACTCGGGTTGGGCATCCTGACCCAGTCAGGAAGGGTCCTGGCACTAAGGAAAAAGGAAAGCTGGCCATTCCTTTTGCCTCAGCTTTGTTCTAACAGCATCCTTCTAGGTCTCTTCTGCCCTAAATGCCCCTGTTCCACCTTCTTTCCTAAGTCCTAGGATCCTTACCCCCACACCCACATATAACCATGCCTCCCAGGTCTCAGGTCTCTCTCCCTGGTCACTTCACACCTTGGTCCCCTCCATGCCTCCTGTCAGCCATTCCCCAAGGCCACTAAGCACAGACCAGGGACATTTGCTCCCACTCTGCCCTTCTTGTCCTATCTGAGTCAGAGGCCCTACAATCACCCTGCATCCACTCCTGCCCCCTAAGCCCACCATCAGCAGTTTGCGTCCTGGTACAATGAGTGCCTCTGAGTACCTCACTCATGCCCACTCTTCCCCTCCCCTCACTTCAACGTAGTGACTTCGACAACGCTGGGCTAGCATTTATTGTTCCAGTTCTCTGGATGAATAGACAGGCTCAGAGAAACCCAGCACAATTGGGATCCAACTTGCCCTACCTTAAACTATAATGTCTCTTGCCTCGTTGACTGCCAGGCCTTGTATGCTATCTTCCACCCTCCCACCCTCATTTTACCCATCAAAGAATCTAAGCTGCCTGGTCTGGCTGTTTTAATTCCCTCCCACCACTCCGGTCAGCCAGGTCCTGGCACCTTAGCTTTTGCCGATCCTGCACCTATTCTGGCGCGTGCTCTCTCTCCCCTCTTTTTTGTTTGTTTGTTTGTTTGAGACAGCTTTTTCTGTTGCAGCCCTGGCTGTCCTCGAACTCGCTCTGTAGACCAAGTTTTCCTGGAATTCAGTGATCCACCCTGACTTCTGAAGCGCCAACTGCCACCACCACCGGCTAGACCTTAGCTGACTGGGGCCTCCCTTTGAAGTTATCGCAGCTCTAAGGTAAACGCTGGTTATGTCCTGGCCAGTGCATCAAAGGACAAGCCTAAATGTTACCCCGAGTCCCAGCCTAATGTTATCTGGAGCCCCAGGTCTGGTCTGGGATACCCAGCTTGCTGGCTGGCTGGGATTTGTTGTTGGGGGAACTAGGGTGGAACCTGCGGGAGCCAGTCGCGCATGCGCAACCGCAAGGGTACCCTCACCAGCCCTCCACTCATTCCTAAAGCTTCTATCCTGCGGAAGGGCGGGGCCCACAGACCTTGGAGCTCCGCTGCTGGTGGTGAGGTGCGGTAGTCAGCCCAATCTGTTTTCCTTTCCCTCCCTGCTGGGTGGAGTCCGGCTTGTGGTCTGGATCGTTTCGGACGGCCCCACTTCGGAGTAGAGCCTCACAGGGGCAGATGACAGTGCAGAAAGGACCGAGCGAGCGGGGTGGGGACGTGAACAGCAGCTGCAAAGGGGGGCGGGGCGGCCAGGGCTGCCGGGAATGGGGGAGGGAGGGGCGAACTCTGATTCTGCGAACTCGGTCCTGGCACCCGGCGGGAGCGGGGGCCTGGGCGCGGGGGGGGGGGGGCATATAGTCCGTTCTCCTCTCCCGCCCAGACCACCCAGATTTGAGTCAGGGGGTCAGTTCTGTTTACGGTCCCACGTGTCCAGCCCACTCTGGGCCTTCTAATTGCTAGGTGCTTTTAATTTGTCCTTCTATGACTTCTCCCTCCGCCTGTCACAGATAAGTTTAGAAAAGGGAACCGATTTGCCCAGAGTCAGAGACGCGTGCACAGAGAAGCTGGAACGCCTGCCTCCTGGAGGATACAGTGGCCGGCATCTCAGTGCAAGTGAAAGATTTCGGCACTGGCCCTCCAAGTACCACCATGGAAGGTGGGGGGCTTCCTTGAAAGTCTGAGTGTCAGGACGGTTCTAAGTCCAAACATCCGGACACTTGTCTGCATCTGGACACTTGTCCGAATGCAAAGTCGTTATCCACTGTCTTTGGTTGACAGAAAAAACGAGAGACCAGAAACAAGAGTGGGGGGGGATGCAGTTTATATTGCAAGACTCACTGGGGTAGTGGAGAGAGGGTGCTGCATAATGGGGGCTTCGTTCACTCCCCCCAGGGGACGCCAGGAAGCCTAAAAGGGTGAGATGCTGCGTGCTGGTTCCTTAGCCAGGCTTTTTCAGAGGGGCGGGAGTCTAGGGGGAGGAAGGACTGGCTCCAGGATCCAAGTAGGGGGCACTGCTTTCAGGAGCACTGTAAAGGGTTAAAGCCCCAGGCACTGACAGAGCTGTACCCTGCAAATCCACCGGAACATCCAGCAGGAGTGGGGTTCCCAGCGTGTGGTCTTTCCCTAGGAGTAGGCTGTGGTTAGGCAAGCCCTCCTTCAGTTAGGAGGTAACATTATCCTTACAAACACACTCTTTAAAGGCAGGGGCTTGCTACACATCCCAGGCTGACTCTGAGCTCACGATCTTCCTGAGTTCTGGGATTACAAAGTATCTACTACCATATAGCTTAAAACATTATTCTTGAGCTCACTCCTCTCACACAATGATGATGGTATGGGTACTTCTCTAGAAGTCTCTACAGGGCAGCCTGAATTCAGGGTCATCCCTCCCCTGACTAAGCCATCCACCCTGCCCAATCAGGGTAATTCAGATCATGGTGGCTTCTACCCAGGCGTCTCAACCATTACCTACACCTGAAGAATTCAACTCCTTGACGGTCAGCTCAGCCTCACCTCTCTCTTGAGCCAAGGGCTGCATCTGCATGGGAGAATCCCAGGAAGCAATTGAGAAGGGAGCCCGGAAGTCAAGGAAGAGAGCTGGGAGTCACTGGGGCAATCTTTCAGCTGTGAACCAAACCAACTTCAGCTGCTCCTTTCTTACCAGAGACAACTCCATGTCCAAATCCATCAGGGTCCATTCTCGTCCTGGAAGGCCAGGGCCCAGCACCTGGGAAGAGCTTGGGTGAGCGGTGCCTTCAAAGGCTGCACAGACAGCTCAACTTCGTGTGTCTCACGTCCTGCCTGGGCAAAGAGATACTCACATCCATGGGTGCTATGGGTTCCACAGTTTCAGGGGGAGGCCGAAGCAGCACTGGGGACAGCAGACTCTCTGGGCTCCTATTACCCCGATCCAGGCCCAGAGTTCCCCTGTGCACAAAGAACTGCTTGCTATCAGTCTCTGACATCCACTTCCCAGGGAACTTGCATCATCAGGTTTAAACTGCCCCAACAACTAGAACATGCTAAGAAACAATACTTTCCGTCAACCCCCTCCCTAGTAGGGGAGATTTTTTTCTTCTTTTCTCTCTCTCTCTCTTTTTTTTAAAAATTTTTGTGGGCATGAGACAACATCTTGTTATGTAGCCCTGGCTGGCTTCAGACTTACAGCAATCCTCTTGCCTCAATGCCCTGGGTGCTAAAGGGGTATCTTTGTTGTTTTGCATAGGGTCTTGTGTAGCTCAGTCCACCCACAAACCTTTACTAGCTAAGTATGACCTTGAACTCCTGACCCTCTTGCCACTACCTCCTCCATAGTTCTGGCATTAATTACAACAGGGGTATGTCACCATGCCCAGCTTCCTAGGTTGCCTTGATTTGCCTTTGCTTCCTAACTAAGACCTGAGATCTTGGCGGAGGTCCCCTTCCTAGAGAAGTATAAAGACTAGCAAAGGCTTTTGGTTTGGTTTTTGTTATGTGTGCATGTGTATTCCAGTTGGAGTTTGAATTTCGGGCTTGAGCACGCTAGGTACATACTCCACCACTGAGTTATGTCCCCAGCCTAACCACCCTTTCCCCATTACTTTTATTTTTGATTTATTTATTTGGTTTTAGGGGACAGGGCTTCTTTGCATTAACAGCTGTGGCTGTCCTGAAACTCACTCTGTAGACCAGGCTGGGGTCTCGAATTCAGAGATCCACCTGCTTCTGCCTCCTGAGTACTGGGATTAAAGGTGTGCACCACTACTGCCCAGCAGATTTATTTTATGTGTTATTATTGTTCGGTATTATGTGTCTTGGGGGTGGGGCATGTGCAGAGGTCAAGGAGCACAGTTGTGTGGAGTTGATTCTCTCCACTTCACATGGGTTTTAGGGGTTGAACTCAGGCAAGAGGCTTTTGTGGCAAGGGCTTCACCTGCTGAACCATCCCACCAAATCTTCCTTTTATATTTAGTCAGAGTCTCACTAAGTTACCAACACTGGTCTTGAGTTCACACTGTAGCCCAGGCAAGCCTTGAACTTGTGATACTCCTGCCTCAGTTTCCCAAGTTGACACCCCTGTGCCACTAAGACCAGCTACCCTTGGTTGTTATATATGTTATAATCATGCCAGTGAACTAATTTCCTGTAAATCCCAGAGCCCTACTACAGGGTGCTTGGTGACTTGATTGGGGGTTTCCATTCTAAATAATTCTGATACTCTTCGGAGCATACTCTGAGAAATCAGGTCAGTCAGGGTCATGAGAGTCTGATGCCCAATGTCTGCCCTCAGCTACCACAGGACTGATGAAGCTTTTGTTTGGCCAGCATACGAGACTCTATCTATAAACCATCAACACTGGTTCTGCTCACCTGTCGGGTACCTCCCTGGGGCCCCTGGGTTCAGGCTGTTGTACACTCCTGGGCCCCTCAGGGCTGTAGCTCCCTTTCCCTTCCAGGATGGCCTGCACCACAGCCACGGGCAGCGGTGGGGGTGCTGTCACGCAGAAGTCACACTCGTTTGGGGCCAGGGCCAGCCTGGCCTCGCCATCCCCCCCTGGACTGGCCGGCTCTTCTTTGAGCAATGCCAGGCCCTTCACCCTGCACCAGAGAAAAGCTTCAACCAGACCCTGACCCTGACCTCTCCCCACCCTCACATGCCTCTGGGTTGTAAGTGCTTTCTGTAGGGTCCCCACAAGGCAGGCCCTGTCCTCCTTACCTCCTGCCACCACCAGAGGGAGAAAGTCTGTGCCCTTCAGGAGATGGAGCATCCTCTGGGATGTCAGAGATGATGGGCCCTCTGTCCCTGTGAGGGCTGAGGCCCAGGGTAGTCTCTGGGAGAGGCTGCAAGTAGAAGGTTTGACCAAGCTCTTGACCTCCAGCTACAGAAGAGCCCAACCAGCACCCATCTGAACCAGGACTAAAGATCAGGGTTTGAAAATGAATCTAAAGCTGGGTGGTGGTGGTGCACACCTTTAATCCTAGCACTCGGGAGGCAGCGGCAGGTGGATCTCTGGTGAATTCTAGGCCAGCCTGGTCTACAGAGCTAGTTCCAGGACAGGCACCAAAGCTACAGAGAAACCTTGTCTCAAAAAACAAAAACAAAACAAAAACAAAAAAACCTAGGTCTGGTTGGTAGAATGTTGGCATTCATCTTTGGGGGGCAGAAAGGGAGAAGAAACAGGCTCCTCACAATCCTATCTGCACCCTAGGAAGAGGAAGAGGAGGAAACACCACCTACCGACTGGATAAAGTAGGGGTCCTGGAGGAGAGCACCAGAGACCGGGCAGGCATTGAATTTGGCAGAGGCCGAGCATGAATCCCCCTCATCCAGCATCAGGGACCTGTGAAGGGTGGGCAGGTTAGGCTGCCATGCCTCTCTGCCTGAACTGCCCTCCCTCCCTCTCTCTCTCCCTCAGGCCCCAGCAGCCCAGTCAGCAGAGCTGAGGCCTGTTTCCAGGGCATCAGTCACATGCTGGAGTGGAAGGGGCTCCCTGAGAGATGGGGGCCCTTTGGGGGTTAGAGGGGAGTGAGAGAGCTTAGTTTGAGCCCCAAGCCAGAGGTGCCGACTTTGGGCATAGGAATTTGAGGGTAATGAAGCAGCAAGGGGATGTGAAGTGGGGGTGATGGTTGGTGGGTTGAAGGTAAAAAGTAGGGGAGTCCGGATCTAGAGGAGTCTCTGGAGTGGGGTCCCTGACAAGGAAGGGAGTCCTGGCAGCAGGAATGTGGTTGTGAGCACTACAGGCTTCTGGACTCACAGCTTTCTCTTGGTTCCTGAACTGCTGGGTGCTGTCTGAAGCGACCCAAATAGGCACTGGATTAGCTGAAAAGAAAGGGTTAATTCATACTTCAGGCCAGGCCCCTCACCATAGAAAAGCAATTTCTAGTGGGTCTGGGGGACAGGCGTGGAGGTATGGGGTGCCCAGGAGTGGGAGGATAAGAGCTAGGGGAAGAGGAACACCTTGCCGATGACCCGGTGCTGCTGACTGTGGCTCTGTCGCAGGGTCACCACTTCTCGCCACAAGATCTCGTTCTGCCTGGGAAGAGGGGTGGGGAGATGCTGAGGCATCCGAGTTTAATCGGACACCGTGCCCCCACAGAATGGAGAGGTCACTAGCAGAAGGGACGTCTCTCTTCCAAGACTAAACGTTACAGAGCTGAACCCATTGTCTGGATGAAGCCTCTAGTCTATAGGAGTGGAAGGCCCTGCCCAGAACCCCTAGGTGGCCGGTATCCTATCCCCCATAACTCCACCCTTCCTTCCCTGTCCCGCACTGCCTGAGTTCCTGCAGCCGTGCCTCCGTGCTCTCCTGCATTCCCCTCAAAGCTTGCACCTCTCCCAGCAGTCGGCCTAGGTCTTCAGGACGCCATCGACTGTCATCGCCTCGCAGCGCAGGTACCTGTAGGTAGGACGCACCATCCCGGACAGGGACACATAAACCAGAGCCAGAAGTACCAACATGGGCCTTTCCCCATTTTTGCAGTTTGTCCCACCTTGCGGCGCACGCGCTCCAGTAGCTGCTCCCGGCCTCGCACGAAGCTTGGATGCTGGAATTCAACGTGGTCACGCTCTGGCCTGAGAAGGCCACCTTGCTCAATGCTTACCACCTTCCGAAAACCATCTGGGGAATGGTGGGCGGGGAGGGGAGGCGGGGGCCGTGAGCCGCTCCATCCTCTGCACCAAGTAACCCCAACCCGCTTCCCGCCTGGGCCTGGTAGAGGGACTCACACATGTTGAGTTGGCGAACAAAGCTCGCCATGTTGCTGTGCTTGAAATACTGAGGCAGGACTTCTTTGGCGAAGCGGCTCTGATCACTTACGAGGAAGCTGGTCCCACTCTGCCAAGAAGGAAAGGATGCCCATCGGGTGGAGACCAGACTAGGTGAGAGGCAGACACTCACAGCTGGATCACACTCACTCACTGCTCCAGGTTTGCGCCTCACTGGGAGGTGGGACATGACCAGGTCAGAACCATATGAGGCCTACCCTGCCATAACCACAAACAATTCCTACCCCTAGGCAGACCCAGATTAGATCCTCAGAAAGAAAGAGCACGTACCAACCCGGGGTCAACCTCAGACTGGTCTCAGGCTCACTTTGTGACCCTGAGCCAGAGGTGGAGCCAGCCTTCCCTTTTCTTGGCCTGTTTTCTCATCAGTAGACAAGTAAAGTGAGAATTACCTAGGTCCCTTGGGCTCTAGGACCCTCGCTCCTCATGTATCTCACCTACCCTTCCAACGTGATCCACTCGGCACAGCTGAATCGAGGTACTCACAGCCCAGTCCCAGGTGGGGGCTGGGTAGACATGGGTGTTCACAGACATTGGACAGACCCCCGGGGACCACTGAGAGAGTTGAGGGGCCCCAGCCCTCACCGGGCTCCAGCGGATGAGGTGGTCTGTGCCTGGGTCGCCCACCAGTGCCCATAGCTTGCCGAGGAAGGCAGGTACCGGGCTGGGGCCTGGCTCCGTGGGCAGCGCAGCTGGCGCTTCCTGCATGGCGCAGTCTCGGCCGGGCTCAGCGTTCCAGCCCGGCCGCTGCGGGCTTGTCAAAGCCGCGAAAGTGCTGCGTTTGCCGCCCGCCCCGCCCTACTCCGCCCCTGGGCGCCGGGTCAGGCGGGGGCCGCGTGCGAACCCAAGGGGCGGGGCTCGGACAGCCGCCCGGTCACCAGCAGAGAAAGGGTTGGCTGAAACGTAGGTGTGTGTGTGTGTGTGTGTGTGGTGGTGGTGGTGGTGGGGGAGGTGAGGAGGGAAACCCAGGTTCGAGTCTCATCCTTCTCAAGTCCCTCTCTTTCAGGGTTGATGGGCAGAAATCATCTGTGGGCTCGGAAAGTCCTAGAAGTTCATCTGTGGACGTAGTGAAGCCTAGGTAAGGGAGGGCAGATAGACAGGGTGGTGGGTTAAGCTGGCCCTTCCCTGTCTTTCGGACGCTAGGGAATTGGTCATTCCTGGGGTATAGAGTGTACCGATCCCTACCTCCCACGGTCACAGTACAAAAGCCCCCAAGGTCCCCATTCTTGCAAGTCCGGCCGGATGCTCTTCCAGTCTGTGCATTTCCTGCCCTCCCCTCCAGAGCTGGCTCGAGACTACAGGACGCAGAAATACTAAAGGATTTATTTACTTCACACTCACCCTTGACTTTTGGCTTGTGTTTGTGCCTGCCCTCCCCCAGTTCTGGGCCTCGGAGCTAGCGCAGAGTGGACAGGGGAGGGAAAGCCTAGAATGGGGAGAGACACAGAGGTTGAGAAGGCCCCATGAATCTATGGAGCCTGGGACTGGCCTGGATGCCTTCATAGGCCCCAAGCCCCGAGAAGCACCATAGTCAAGGGGCTCCCTAAGGATGGGGCTAGCCGCTGGGGAATGCCTGCGCGAGTTGCTCAGTCCTTTCAGAGGCTTGGGGTCCGTGCAGTCCAGAAGTGGTGAGATTGCCCAATCACCGCACGGGTCCTGGAGTGGTGAGATTGCCCAATCACCGCACCAGCGTGGGCCGCCAGGGATGCGGCTCACGCTTTAGTTTGAGGGTGTAGCTGCGCAGGCGCGGGCAGTGCGCGCGGAAGGCGTCCAGTACCGAGGGTCTCACCACGCAGAAGCAGTGTATCTCCCTCAAGCCCGCGCAGCGCGCCGCCACCTCCTCCAGAGCGGTGTGCAGCTCGGTGGAAGCGGACGCGCGCACCTCGAGGGTGCGCAGAGTTTCGGCGTAGTGGCACGCTGCGAAGCGCACGGGCCCTACCGTGTCACCCGAGAGATTGAGACGCAGCACAGCTACTGGTACGGCTGGTTGCAGGACGCGCATTACGGCCTCGTCTGAAAGCGCAGGCTCCAGCTCCAGCTCCACCTCCAGCCCAGGGTGGCGGCAACGCAGTGTCGCCCAGGCTTCATCAGGCAGGAGGGGCGCACGAGCATCTTCGGGGCACGCGCACCTCAATGCCAGGAGTGCAAAAGGGGCGCGATGTGGCGCGGCCAGCAGTTCCAGCGCCTTAGGCGACAGACTGGCCAGGTGCAGTCCAAGGGCGCGCAGGTGCGGGCAAGCCTCCAAAAGCTTGAGCACAGAGCTGGGCTGCACGTTGTCCACTAGTGCATAGTTGTCCAGGAAAAGGCTACGGAGCTCGGGACAGTCACGTGCAGCCTGAAGCACCAGCGTGTCGTCTAGTGTGTAGGGCAAGCGGCGCAGGTCGAGGTGGCGCAGTTGGTGAGCGGCTCCGCAGACTGCGTGCACAGCGCTCAGGATGTCGCCGCCGGCGTCGAAAAGCGGCTTCTCTCCGCAGCATTCCAAGCGTAGGCCTCGAAGTCCTGGGGCTCGGTCGGCAAGAGCCCTCAGTAGCTCAGTGGCTGTTCGGCGGCTGGGCTTCTTTGATGGCTCATATTCCAGCCGTAGGTTGTGAATGTGGTCCAGGCAGGCATACAAATACGGTGGCAACAAGTCTTCCAGCTCACTGTCACAACTGGCATTAGAGCGACACAGAAAGGAATTAGCGGTGTCACCATGAACTGGGGAAGAAACTTCTTTTTATTAGTGTATTGATTGTGTGTGTGTAGTTGTTTCGCCTGCATGTATGTCTGCACTACAGGTGTGCCCAGTGTCTGAGGAGGCCAGAAGAGGGTGATGAATCCTCCAGGATTGTAATTACAGCCGGTTATGAGCTGCTGAGTGGGAGCTGGGAACCGAATCCAGGTCGTCTGGAAGAGCAGCTTGTGCTCTTAATTGAGGGGCCATCTCTATGTGCCCCTCACTGTGGGTTCCACCTGCCCTCTCTATTCTCTGTGATGGGAACGTCCATCCATCCTTTCCCTTCAGAAGTCTTCAGAGGCTTCTCAGGCTGTAACCTCCCAGCATTCCAGCCCTGGGAAAAATCCATGGTAGGCCGGGGTGGCTGCAGCGCACGCCTTTAATTCCAGCACTGGGGGGTGAGGGCAGAGGCAGGCGGATCTCGGTGAGTTCAAGGCCAGCCTGGTCTACAAGAGCTAGTTCCAGGACAGGCTCCAAAGCTACAAAGAAACCTTGTCTTGAAAAACTAAAAAAAGCTTTTTTTTTTTTTTTAAGACTTATTTATTTCTTATGTATACAACATTCTGCCTCCATGTATGCCCGCACACCAGAAGAGGGCGCCAGATCTCATTACAGATGGTTGTGAGCCACCACGTGGTTGCTGGGAATTGAACTCAGAACCTCTGGAAGGGCAGCCAGTGCTCTTAACCACTGAGCCATCTCTCCAGCCCAAAAGCTTTTTTTTTTAAAATGGCATTTAAAGCACTAGGCTTACTCAGTAGTCTGTGGAGGTGGAGCAGGACGTCCAGACCACCAGCTTCAGATTCTGCCTCTCTCACTCGGTTACTGGATGCAGCCTCCAGGCCCAAGCGATTAAGTCTCTACACCTCGATTGCCTGTCTGCAAAGGAAATGATGCTATCTACCTGCTACAAGCTTCTCGTGAGGATTAAATAGCTAATTTGTGGAAGGCACTCAGAACACTCCTTGGGGATTGGGGTCAGAGTTTAGTGGTAGAATCCTTGCCTAGCAAGTTCAATCCCCTGGGCTCAAAACCAAACATACCCAATACTACTTGGTATAAAGTAGGCAGCACTGAGTTTGCGTTCAAGCGTGAGGTGGAGTGGCAGCAGGAAGCAGCTCACCTGATGCTGGTGTCACGCCACACAGCACTGCTGGTGGTGGCGGCAGCCCAGGCCTTGCAGACTCTGGCGGTTGCAGCCCGGTCTCTAAGAGGCAGATCGCGGAAGATGAGCGCCAACACTTCCTCTGGCAGTTTTTCTCCGAGTTCCACCATGGTGTGGCGGTAGTGGGGGGGCGGGGGAAGGGACGGGTCTGCTACTGCCAGCAGCAGGGGCCTAAAGTGAAAGAGGGAGCCCCGGGCTCAGAAAGGTCGAAGTATTTCAGAAAAGCCAACGCTTGGGCATAGAGATGCTTGTAGCCTGGGAGATGCTCTGCGCTTTGCAAAAGTGTAGCGCTCCCAGCCTGTGGGATGACTCAGCAGATAAAGCATTTGCCCCCAACATGAATGACTTGAGTTCTATCCCTGGGACCCAGTGGTGGAAAGGAAGAAGTGACTCTGAGAGTTGTCCTCTGGCCTCCACTGACATGCTTGTCACCCTGGATCGAGCACTTCCATACTCATAAACACGAATAAACAGATCATTAAAAAACAACAACAAAAGGATGGGACTGGAGAGATGGCTTAGCAGCTAAGAAAGCTGGATCTTCTTGCAGAGGACCTAGGTCTGGTTTCCAGCACCCACGAGGTGGCTCACAACTGTCCTTAACTCTGACTCCAGGGGATCTGGTACCTCTTCCAGAGTCTTTGGACACCAGGCACATACAGGCAAACACTCATATACATAAAATATGTAAATCTAAAAATGATTTTTTTTTTAAGACAGGGGACTGAAAAGATGGCTCATCAATTAAGAACATTTATTGCTCTCAGAGAAGGTGGAGATTTGGTTCCCAGCACCCACATGGCCAGTCATAACTGTCCATAATAACTACAATTCTAGGACATCGAACACCCTCTTCTAGCCTCCATGGCGCTGCTGCACACCCACCCATGTTACACAGACAAACATGCAAACACATGCACATTAAATAAATTAATTAAAAAAAGAAAATGCTAGCTGGCCGTGGTGGCCCATCCCTTTAATCCTAGTACTCAGGAGGCAGAGTCACAAGGACCTATGAGTTCGAGGTCAGCCTGGTCTACAGAGGGAGCTCCAGACAACCAGGGCTTTTACATGGAGAAATCCTGTCTCAAAAAACAAAACAAACAAAAAGAAAGAAAAAAAAAAGAAAGAAAAGAAAGTGCAGAGGTTTCTCTTCAGAATGTTATTAATTTTCCCCAAAGGGAAAAGGTGTAGCTCTGGTTGTGCTCATAACACACACACACACACACACACACACACACACACACACTTCTTTCGCCCCTCTTTCTTCTCTCTTTTTTTTTTTTTTTTAAATCTTTCTCATTGCTGCTACATAGCCCTGGCTGTGTTGAACTCAAGATACTCTTGCCTCTGTGGTTTGGTTTTTCTTCCTTTTTTAAGGTTTATTTATTTATTATGTAAATAGTGTTCTGTCTGCATACGAGAAAAGGGCACCAGATCTCATTATAGATGGTTGTCTGGGACTTGAACTCAGGACCCTGGAAGAGCTGCTGGTGCACCTCTGAGCCATCTCTCCAATCTCCTCCTCCTTTTCCTCCTTCTTCCTTTTTAAAGACAGTTTCACTATGTTCTCTTGGCTGTCCTGAAACTCACTCTGTAGACCAGGCTGGCCTTGAACTCACAGAGATCTACCTGCCTCTGCTTTGGAGTGCTGTGACTAAAGGTATGTGCCACCAAGACTGGCTCTAAACGGTTCTTTTTTTTTTTTTTTCCTTTTTCGAGACAAGGTTTCTCTGTGGTTTTGGAGCCTGTCCTGGAACTAGCTCTTTTTTTTTTTTATTGAGACAGGATTTCTTTGTAGTTTTTGGAGGCTGTCCTGGAACTAGCTCTTGTATATCAGGCTGACCTCGAACTCNGCCCGAAGACCAGAAGAGGGCGCCAGACCTCTTTACAGATGGCTGTGAGCCACCATGTGGTTGCTGGGAATTGAACTCAGGACCTTTGGAAGAGCGGGCAACGCTCTTAACCACTGAGCCATCTCCCAGCCCCTGGAACTAGCTCTTGAAGACCAGGCTGGTCTCGAACTCACAGAGATCCGCCTGCCTCTTCCTTCTAAACGGTTCTTTAAACTACTTTCTCATTTGCTGAACAAGCTTTACTTGACTCCCTAGGTTTCAAGTTGTGGAATCTTGTCCCATCCCAGCCCTTCCACTAGAAAGTGACTGCGTGAATCTTCGTGAAGTGGTTTTTTGTTTTGTTTTGTTTTGTCTGAGGTCACACGCCAATCAGGAAATGATGGTGTTCTTGCAGCCTCGAAAGGGAGGGTTCCTTTGCTCTGTCTCCACCCCCAGGCACAGACTTCCCGCTGCTTTCCGTGACAGACCCGCGAGGGGGGGGGGGAGCTTGCTGCTCTGGAGCCGACCGCTCTTTCAGGGTTTTTATTCAAGTTAGAGCCCTGACCCTTGCGCAGCCCTGGTTCTCGCTAGCTATTTAAGGTTCGGCTGGAACTCTGAAGCTTCTCCAGAGCTCAGCTTTCAGAAGGAGGTGAGCGTTGTTGGGAGCTGTGAGTTCTCTTTGAAGCTGCCAGCTTTGTTTCAAGGTGCTGGGGGTCCAAGCCACTTGCCATTTAATTCCCCCCGTCTTCCAAGCGTACGGTTTCTCGTGGAATTTGCCCCAAGTGTACTCTAGACTTTCGGAGATTCCGGGCCAGGCTTGTTCTGGAATCACGGCACCCCACTAAAGTGTAGCAGAGATTAAGATCACCGAACCAGATTCCTAGGGGGCGCCAGAAAATTCTTATCTCCAGAAGACGCCCGCCGATCGAACCCCAGGAACTGACTTAAATTTGGCAGCTCTCACTCCGGGGCCCTTCGGCCTCAAAAACCTCAATCCGCTAAAGTCATGACCAGTGGGCAGTTCGTCCTGCCATCTAACCTTGGGTCGTTATCTTACCTGCTCAGCAGACTAGGTGGGCTTTGCCCGGAGGCAGGGGACTGGCCACGGAGGACAGCGGGGCAGGAAGGAGAGGCCCTGAGCAGAGAAGGCGGGACACGCGGGCTGACCCGGCGGCTCGGGCTGGGGCGCCGCCCCTGCGTCTTTGCGCACACCCGGAAGCCGCGCGCAGCGGAGCCCGGCGAGTGTGCGGCGGCCAGGTTGCCAGGTTAGTGCGGAGAGTGGGTGGGCTCCCTTGGTGCCGCCGGAGCAGAGAGAGATCTGGCTCCCCAGGGTGGGCACCGCACGGGGGTGACACGCAGTTGCTGGCCAGCTGGTGGCAGCGGCCTGGTGGGCTGCTTCAGTGGGAGGCGCGAGGGACTTCGGACCTCCACCTTCGTTGGTTTCTTGTCCCAACTAACTGGGTGTCAAGGCCCTGCAGGAGAGAGGATCTGGCTGCAAGGCTGGCCCGGAACGCTTCTGAGAGCCCCTTTTCTGCCTGACCCCCGGCGTGTGCGAACCCCCAGCTTGAAGGCGGGGTAATGGGGAGTCTGGGAACCTCCCTCTGCCAGGACGCGTTCGGCGCAGCCAAGCAGGGGGCGTGTCCTGATGGTCTGGGAATCTCAAACTTTCAGTTCTTGAGTTGGGTGCCAGGCCTGTCCACCTAATCGGAAGTGGGGTTGCCCTGGGAATCTAACGCGTTAATGGGGGCATTTGTTCTTAAATTAGTATTGGTGTCCCAGGACCCAGCCTAGAAACCTCGCAGTGGGTGGAGGGTATTCAGGGAAGGACACGTGGTGGGAAGGTTTTTTAAAATTGCGTCTTCCCGCTTCCCGCTTCCCCTGACCCCCAGGACAGGGTTTCTCTGTGTAGCCTCGGTTGTCCTGGAACTCGCTTTGTAGACCAAACTGGCCTCGAACTCAGCCTCTGGGATTAAAAGTGTGTGCCACCCCTGCCAGGCCGTCCTTCATTACTTTTAAAGAAAGACCTTTATGTGCTGGGGTGTAGCTTGGTGGCTGAGAATTTGGTTAGAATACACAGGCCCAGGGTTCAACCTCAAGTATGGAAGTGACTGGGGTCTTGCTTTGTAATACAGGCTGGCTGATCTTCCTGCCTCTGGCCCCTGAGTGCTGGGATTACAGGCAGGAAGCCATCACAGCAAGCTCCTTTCGTTGTCTTCTTTTTATTATTTTTTTTTCTTTTTTGTCCTGGGCCTTGCACATGCTAGGCAAGCACTTTATCACCGAACTATATATATCTCCAGACCTACTCCTATTTTTTTTCTTTTCCTGTCTTTTTGAGCCAGGGCCTCACTATGTAGACCAGGCTGGCCTCTGCCTCCTAAATGCTGGCATTAAAGGCATGTCCCACTATGCCCCAACTCTTTTTTTTTCTTTTTGAGACAAGGTTTCTCTGTGTAATGGCTCTGAAATTCACTTTGTAGCCCAGGCTGGCCTTGAACTCACAGAGATCCATCTGCTTCTGCCTCCCGAGTGCTGGGATTAAAGGCATGTGCCACCACTGCCTGGTCCCAACTAATGAAACATGTCTATTACATATATACAAAATAGAATAGATATACAAAATACAAAGAAAATTAAAATCACTGCCCAAACTGCCCGGAAATAAACAATAATCTTCATGCTGTTTTAGTAACTATATATTTATTAGTATGTTTTCTATGAGGAGGGGTTTCAAAAATTGCATCCCCTATGCCAAGACTCAGATACGGCCATCGCCAATTAATTATTTCTTTTTGCAAGGTATGTATGATGCCCTGCCCAGGGGCTTTCTTAATCTTGACACTCATTAGCGGTTTAGAAGCGAGATTTTGATAGGGGATGGATGGAAGAGATCCCAGCAATGAGCAAGGGAGCTGTCTCTCTGTGAACAATTGGGGAATCTGTTTAGGAACAGCTGAAGAAATTAAGAGCCTTATAACAAACTTACATAACTGAGCAGTCCAGGATGGTCTCAGAGATAGTTGGATCCATGGTTAAGATCCTTTAATCCCAGCACTTGGGCCGCAGACGCAAGTGGATCTCAGTGAGTTCGAGGCCAGCCTGGTCTACAAAGCAAACTCCAGGACAGCCAAGACTTACCTACAGAAACCCTGTCTTGAACAACAAAAAACAAACAGACAAAAAAAAAAAAAAAGGGAGTGTATTTTGAGAGGGCTAGAGAAATGGCTCAGTGGTTAAGAGCACTGGCTGTTCTTCCAGAGGACCCGGGTTCAAATCCCAATACCCACATGGCAACTCAGAACTGATTGTAACTCCGGTTCCAGGGGACCTGACACCCTCACACAGACATACACGCAAGCAAAACACGAATGCAAATAAAAACAAATACATCTTAAAGAAAAGTGTATGTTCTGAGATGCAAGACATAGCTCAACAGTTAAGAGCACTGACTGCTCTCCCAGAGGAACCAGATTAGATTCCCAGCACCCACAGAGTGGCTCATGACCATCTGTAACTCCAGTCTCTGATCTTTTCTGGCCTCCACGAGCACCAGGTGTGCATGTAATAATTCTTATTAAAAAATAAGAGTGTTTGCCCTGTCAGGCATGGTGCTGATGCCTTTAATTCCAGTACTTGGGAGGCAGATTTCTGTGAATGGAAGGCAACATAGGCTACATGGTGAGTTCTAGACCAGGCAGGGATATGTAGCGAGACCCTCCCCCTCACACACACACATACTACACGTGTGTGTTCTCATCTCTTGGCCTTACTTCCTTCCATGTAGGTGCCCTCCTTCCCTCAGATAGGTCCTTTCTAAACAGTAACCAAAGAGACCCATTTCTTCCCTCTGATTCAACCCCAAAGCTAGGGAAATTAGTGCCACTTCCTTAGTGGTCCAACTAGGGATGCAGAGTTGAGTTTCTGTAGTCCAGTCTGAGCCTTATATCAAGTCTTGCCTGGGTGTTGATGGACGCTGAGCGGAATATGTACTGGTCAGCCTTCTTACAGCCGTACTTGGGTCTAGGCAGTGAAAACTGAGTGGCTAGAGTGGGAACCTACGTGGTACTTTGCACCTGAAAGGGTTTGGGGAATTTAAGGTTCATCTGCAGACAAAGCTAAAATGTGAATCTGACCACCCAGAAGGAAGATGTCTTTTGTCAGCTTTGGTGAGAGGGACCTACTTCCCTGGGGCCTGCTGCAGGGCCCACCTCTGTCACTCTGTCCCTGTGACCCTAGAGTCACAGGTGGTGGAGGGACAATCCTGGGTTCAAGTCTGGGTCGGCCTGGGCAGGATTGTGAGCAGAGCTGAAAGTTGAGCCACCTGAGACTGGGTATTTGTTTCCAAGTCTGGAGAGAATCTGTTTGCATCTCTAGGAGGCGAGATGGCAGCGGGACTGAATGGGCAGGAAGAGTGGGTGGGCAGTGCATACCTGTTTCTGGAGTCCTCCCTGGACAAGGTGGTTCTGTCTGAAGCCTACACAGATCCCCAGAAGAAGGCGGCAATATACAAGGCTCTGCAGGCTGCGTTGTCAGGTGTGTGGCTGGACAGGCGTAGAAGCGACTCTGGGACTTTGTGAGCAGAACTGGGTTTGAGGCCCCACTTTCTTTGTGGGTTTCGCTCAGACACCTTCAGGAGAAAGGTCATTTTGGTGTGGGGTTGGAAGAGGTATCAGGAGAGAGGGAGCACCCCTGGCTGTGTGGGGTCTGCAGTCTTTGCTTCCGGCACATGTGTCCTTGAGTGTAGACATTTGTACACTGTCTGTGTCTATCTAAGATATACCTGTTGCTCTTCTAAGGCACCTTTGCCGTACATCCATTTCCACTTCAGATCAACCAGTTCACTCTTTGCTACTAACTGCACTTTTCTGTCTTCTTTTCCTCTCTCACTGCCGCGCTCTTCGCTCAAACCCTTCCCCCGTACCTGTCCTTTCTGTTCCCTTTCCCCTTCTCAGGGCAGAGACCACAGGAGGCTGTAGCTGGTTGAGGGTCGGGAGAATGGTCTGGCTATGTATGGGCTTAGCCTCCTGTTCTGGTTGCTTGGAGAAAAGTCCTGTTTGGGGACAGCTGGTGGCCTGACTGCTCGCTTCTGCAGAGAGTGCGGACAGCCCTGATGTACTGCAGATACTCAAGATCCACTGCAGCGACCCGCAGCTCGTCGTGCAATTGCGGTTCTCCGGGCGCCTGCTGTGCGGCCGGTTCCTTCAAGCCTACCGCGAGGGGGCGCTGCGCACCGCGCTGCAGAGATGCATGGCCCCGGCACTTGCCCAGGAAGCGGTGCGGCTGGAACTGGAGTTGCGTGCTGGGGCAGAGCAGCTGGACCCTTTGCTGACCGACGAGGAGCGGTGTTTAAATTACATTTTAGCCCAGAAGGTGCTGCCATATGGAGTTAGGATGGGATGGGCTGGGATTTGTGGCCAAAAGCCGCACTTACTGTGCACCCCTTTGCGCAGCCCGACCGGCTCCGGGATGAGGAACTCGCAGAACTGGAGGATGAGTTTCGCAAACTGACGTGCGACCGCACTGACTCGAGTGAAGCCTTACAAGTTGATTCAGCCGCTTCAAAGTCCCCAGTTCCCTCTCTGGCCGAGGAGAAGTCACTGCCGGCGGCCTGCCATACTTTTCTGTTCCATGGTCAGCCCGTAGGTGAGGTTCACCAGCAGAAGCGGGGTCACGGGGAGGTTGGTCTGGGCTGAAGCAAGGCTGGGCCCAGGGATCCGGAGGGAGGTGTGGAAGGGTGTCGGCTCCAGGGAACCGGTGCTCACCCACCTCTCCTCACTTTTCTCCGCAGTGAACCGACCACTGAATCTGCAAGACCAGCAGACGTTCGCGCGCTCAGTGGGTCTCAAATGGCGTAGGGTAGGGCGCTCGCTGCAGAGTAGCTGTCGAGCACTGAGGGATCCTGCCCTCGACGCGCTGGCTTATGAATACGAGCGAGATGGGCTATACGAGCAGGCCTTCCAGCTGCTGAGCCGCTTTATACAAGCCGAGGGCCGTCGTGCCACGCTGCAGCGCCTGGTGGAGGCGCTGGAGGAGAACGAGCTCACCAGTCTTGCAGAGGATCTGCTAGGCTTGGCCTAGGCCTGGTACAGTGGGAAGGGCAGTCAATCAGCAGTTCAGCCAGGGTTTGGACCCCACCGGTGGCTGTTGAGGTCTTTTTACTGCTGCTGTTGCTATTGCTGAATACTTCCCATCCACTGGACTCGGAGAGCATACGAACACCCCCAACCCCCGCCCCACTTTGCCTCGCTGCTGGAGCAGAACCGACAGCCTTCCCAGGAGCCAGGCAAGCCAGGCAAGGAGCCTCAGGGGCTCCGTCACTGAGGATTCTACCATAAATTCTTTGATGGAGACAGTGTAGATGTCCTTGTCTTCCCATCCCAAAATAGGACTTCCTACAACTCACCCTAAGTACCTGGACCTTCTGAGGTCTAGATGTCAATCACGGTGCTGTAAATACTGTTGCGACCAGGATGCACGAAACTTCCCTGCCCTTGGCTCATACTCAACGTGGACCTAAGCACTTTGCAACGATAATAAAATATAGCCCTTTTACAGACTTGTGGAAATACCGAGGTCCAGCTCAGGTTGGGGTTAGGCTCCTTCGAGGGATGAGTGAGCCAGGTGGAGTAGGGAGAGGAGGGGCAGGGTTCTGGGTACAGCAGCTCCGGTGGGGCCTCGAGGAAGATGAGAAAGGGAGGAGGATGTCAGGACAAGTTTGCAGGGGCTGAATGGCGGGCAGGCTGCTTCCTGTCCTGTTAGTGGGGTTTGGTGAACCATTGTATAGTTTGGGTTTTTTTGTTTGTTAATGTTTTAAGTATGGGCGTAAACCAGAGCCTTAATTAGAAAAATTAAAATCTCAGCCGAGCAGTGGTGGTGCACACCTTTGCTCCCAGCACTCGTGAGGCAGAGACAGGCGGATCTCTGAGTTTGAGGTGAGTTCCTGGACAGGGAGGGCTACACAGAAAAATCTTGCCTAAAATAAACAAAGAAAACAAATTAATATTTCAAATACATTAGAGAACTTTACAACTGGAAAGGGATGCAAAATTTTACAGACTAGTAAATCCTAATTGAAATGATCAGGCAAATATGGTAAAATGGCTTCTTTCCTAAAAAAGGATTTCTGCAGGGACTCTTGTATGCCAGGGACCTGATCTGAGGCTGACGTCATCATCTCTGTGAATCTCCCTTTCCCAAGGAACACCTGCTTCCTCATGTTCTTCAATAATAATCCATTTCTCCATCTTTGATCCTCCCTCCTGCCCTCTTCAGTGAGATGAGGTTTATACTCCACCCTCAAACCCTTGTGCTGAGATTACTTAAGCCGCCATGCCTGGCCTGAATTTCACCTGCACACTAAATGCCTACTTCCTTTTCCCTCCCCAATTCTGAGCCTGCTTCACCTTCCTCTGTGAGTGAGCTAGCTTCCTCCTGTTCCTCTTCATGTTCATCTTCTTCCTAAGTCTGGATTTCACTAAGGGGTCATTCTTCTCAACAACACTTTCTCTTAACTCCGCAGGCTTGTGATTTCACTTTAAGAAACCAAGACTTTCCCAAATTTTGAGATGAAAACCAACAGCTATTTGGGAGGGAGAATGCAGCAGGCCTGTGACCTTGGGTGAGGAATGGGTTCAGTGTTGTCAGGCATTTATATTTCCCAGTGGGAAGGAGACGGGGAGAGGGCCTGACTGCTCTCTTCACAGGGAATGATTGTCCTGATGAACCTGGAGCTCAGCTGAATCTAGAGTTCCAAACTCAGGAAAACAATCAGGGCCACAGACTCAAGACAAGCTGGGAAATACCAGTGCGAGCCTGTAACCCTAACACTTTGGGGGCTGAGGCAGGTGGGTCATCAACCCAAGACTGTGAGGGGGTATGTAGCATGGTCTTCCTTTAAAACCCCAAACATCAGTGAACAGGTGTGGCATAGGAAGCAGCTCAAAGAGGAAGGAAAACCAGGGGACCTAGAAAACAGGGCACAGCCTACATCGGGTCAACAGCCCCTTCTGGAAACCTCCTCAAACAATACCAATCCCTGATAGTCCAGTCTAGATTGCAGAGGCAACAACATGGTCATTTTTAGCTGCAAGGATGCTATGTTGGGGCATCGGGAAACTCAAAACTGGATCTGGCATGGAGACAGGAATGAAGTGCTTGCCTGGGAAGTTACTGTGAACAGAAGTGCCTCCATTCCCTGTATCTGGTGGATGAAGAGGCAAGGATGCACCGGGAGATTCCTGAATTCCATAAACCCTGGGGGCCGTCGTTTCTGCCTGTGTCATCCCGGGGCAAGTCACTTAACTCACAAAGCAGTGGTCTTCCCTGGATGAAGAGCTGCCAGCAAGTCTCTAGGAGCAGAACTAGCTGTCTTGTTGGTTGCTGTGTGTGCTTGTGGTTACTGGTGGCAAGTGTGGCAGAGCTAGGAGTAAGGAGGCAGCTGTATATCACTGGGCCAGGTGTTCTGAAAAATGGCCCCGGATGGTGGTCAAAGAGCTGAGACCTAGGGATTTGGGGCCCATCAGCCGGAACGGGGACTCCTGACAGTTTTCTGCAGAAGTGTGGATGAAGGTACCCAGAAACATGAACACTTCCAGCACTCGAGAGGCAGAGGCAGGCGGATCACTGTGAGTTAGTTCGAGGCCAGCCTGGTCTATAAGAGCGAGTTCCAGGATAGGCTCCAAAGCTAGAGAGAAAAATCCTGTCTCAGCCCCCCCCCCCCAAAAAAAAGAACCAAGCTTTCTCGGAGAGTCGCCCATAAGAAATCCTTTTAGGAATCAGCCCGCACTGAGAGGGCGCTCCTTATACCAGGGCGGAGCTGAGCTCCAGATGTCGGGGCGTACACAGCTGTAGGGTCACGTGGCATGGCCTCAGCCCCCTTCCTGCCAACGCTGCAGTTGGCTCAAGCCCAGTTCATGGCCGCCCTTGGGACCCCGAGCTGACAGTTGGAGGGCCCTGCGTTTAGGGGCTGCAACCACCCCACCCCCTTTTTACCGCCCCCCGCCGTCAAGCGTGAGTGCTGAGGTCCTAAGGACCAAGATTAGAGGCGGGGATAGGGTGAGGAAGAAGGGTGAGCCTTGGTTCACCGGGTAGGGGGTCGGTAGGGGCGAGGCCTACGTGTCCCTGCCCAGCCTTGGGGATCCTTCCTGGTTCCTGGGCCAGGACTGATGTTAGAGGCTGAACTTCTCGTCCCTTAGGCTGCTGCGGTGCGCCAGGGCTCAGGGCGGAGGTCGTGTAGCGGATGAAGGAAGGCTAGGACCCCGGGACGGGCGGGGCTGGACATGAAGAGGAGGTTGCGCCGCTGCCGGGACGCGTGGCTCACGCTACTGCTCAGCGCCACCCTCGGCCTCCTGCTCTACGCGCAGCGTGACGGGGCAGCCCCCAAAACCAGAGCACCACCAGCTGGAGGACAGTCCTCGCGGCCCACTCCTGGTCTCCGGGCACGCGCGCCCCCCAATACCGCCAGCGCCGCCCCGCTGGCCTACGAGGACGACACCCCGGTGCCGCCCACCCCTACGGACCCCTTTGACTTCGGCAGGTATCTGCGCGCCAAGGATCAACGGCGCTTCCCGCTGCTCATTAACCAGCCGCGCAAATGCCGCAGAGACGGCGCCTCTGGGGGCCCGCCCGATCTGCTCATCGCGGTCAAATCTGTGGCCGCCGACTTCGAGCGGCGGGAAGCCGTACGCCAGACTTGGGGTGCAGAGGGTCGCGTGCAGGGGGCACTCGTGCGCCGAGTGTTCTTGCTGGGAGTGCCCAGGGGCGCTGGCTCTGGCAGTGCGGGCACGCGGACGCACTGGCGCGCCCTGCTGGAAACTGAGAGCCGCGCTTATGCAGACATCCTGCTCTGGGATTTCGAAGACACTTTCTTTAATCTAACGCTCAAGGAGATTCACTTTTTGGCTTGGGCCACAGCTTTCTGTCCAGACGTACGCTTTGTTTTTAAGGGCGATGCTGACGTGTTCGTGCACGTGAGGAACCTGCTGCAGTTCCTCGAGTCCCGGGATCCGGCACAGGACCTTCTTGCCGGTGATGTGATTGTGCAGGCAAGGCCAATCCGCGCGAGAGCCAGCAAGTACTTCATTCCCAAGGCTGTGTATGGACTGCCGGTTTACCCGGCCTATGCCGGGGGTGGCGGCTTTGTTCTTTCCGGAGCTACGCTCCGCCGCCTAGCAGAGGCCTGTACACAGGTTGAGCTCTTTCCCATAGACGATGTCTTTCTGGGCATGTGCCTGCAGCGCCTGCACCTCACACCTGAGCCTCATCCAGCGTTTCGCACCTTTGGTATTGCTCAGCCGTCAGCTGCACCGCATCTTCGCACCTTTGACCCCTGTTTCTACCGAGAACTGGTGGTAGTGCACGGGCTATCTGCAGCTGACATTTGGCTTATGTGGCGCTTGCTGTATGGGCCTCAGGGGCCAGTCTGTGCACATCCACAGCCTGTAGCAACAGGTCCGTTCCAATGGGACGCTTAGCTACCTATCACAGTATCAAGCCCCTCTCACTCAGCTCCAGAAGCAACTCTTAAAGAACCCGAACGGGCTTCTTCCCATGAGGGTTAATGGTGTACATGGCTTTTCTCCACATCACTGAGTGTGCAGCACTGACGCAGATAGCCAGGGCCAAGGTAGTGGACCGTGTCTTGACCAGCAGACCCAAAAGCTGGCACATTTAATAAAACTAGTAGCCAACAGCATTACTGTGTGTGCCAGGGAGGGCTTGGCTGGAATGCTTAGGGCGCAAACACTAGCTGGTACCCCGTGGCCAGGCCTCAGCACTCAGAGCTGGCAGGCACTTCACTTACTTGCTTCCTTCCTTCTCCACACTGGATTTCCAGTGGCCCTACCACACTGTCTGTCCCCTGTGAGGTCAGCTGTGTTGGGGCTAACCCTTTAGGCCCAGGTTTGCCTGTAACAGGAGGCATGGGGCCATGATGTGTCATGGTCTTGTCCACTATATGCACACACAACTATGTCAATGTACTTATGAAGCTGACTCCTCCCCTTCCCAGGCGCCCTAAGATTCCCATGCTCTTGAACCACAGTCAAGAAAATCAACAGCTCACATTTTAGTACAAACACCCCAGCAGCAGCACATGGGAAGCTGTCACTGCGGGCATAGGTGCTTTATTGGAAAGGGGATGAGGAGGTTTCCTCTATTCAAGAGGATGGGAACAGTCCTGGCTACCCTGACAGTGGGACGTGAGGGTCTCTGGCCAGACCAAGGTCCAAATGGGAAGACACCTGTCAATCAGTCATGGGAGTGCCACACAGGCCTGGCTGTAGGCCCAGGAACCATACAGACAGCTGGGGCAGGCCCCCTGCACATTCATCATGAACTATACAAGATGAGGCTGTACATGAGTTAATTACAAAAGTCATTATTTACAAAAATCTGTACACATATTTGAAAAACTCACAAAATTGTCATCTATGTATCACAAGTTGCTAGACCAAAATATTAAAAATGGGATAAAATTATGTTTCTCTTCTCAATTCTTTTCAAAAGGATTAATATTTTAAAGCACATATATACTACTTTCCATTAGCAAGACCCATGTAAGAAACGCAGCAGCCCAATCTTCTTTGAGCCCCTAGGCCTTAAACCAAGCGGCCAGGCCAGGCCAGTGCTCAGAAGTGGGGCAGGGAGCTGGCCCACAGTGCACAACAGAATGCTGTAATGTAACAGAAGGAGGAAGGTGTCTTTGGCTAACACTTTGGCATTAAATAAAAGAGGCAAACAAGATGGAAACATGCAGCCCTGTCAGCCAGGCTGGACCAAGAGACACAAGTGACCTTGAAGGCTGGCTCCCAGAGCAGCAGTGGGAACCCAGCCTGGGTACATACCTGGTACAAAACTGTATTTCAACCACTTAGGTGTGCCACCTGGGCATGGCAGGGAGCACTCGCACAAAAGAAACAGAAAAGGGCATGTGGGCCACACCAGCCACAGCCAGCTCATCAAGTAGCTAAAGTGGATGTAGTGCAAATATTGCAACCCAGTACTATGGACATGGTGCCTGCTCTGCTCACCGTAGGACCACACGGCAATGTCAGGCTAAAAGCAGGACCCTGTTCTCATGCTAGATACCTATTTCCTTAGCCAGAGAAAGAGCCCATCTTCCCTATGTGTGCAGGACAGGGGTTGACATGTCCTTCATTACACGGTAACTGAGAGGCCCTGGGTCCAGGTTATCAAGGCCCAAAGTTTGTGCTTCTCTTTGCAGACTGTTCTCTGCTGGCAACAGCAGGCCTAGGACAGAGGGCTATCTTGGTTCTCTGTCCCAAGGTAGAGGACTCAACACAAATCCCACTCCTGAACCCTTCCGAATTCCAGAGCCCTTCAACACTGCCAAGGTGCCCAAGAAAACACACAGGGTGGCACAGAGACCCACTGAGCTGGATGTGATGCACAGTTCCATGGACAGAAGGGAATGGGTAGTGATGTCCTTAGGGCAGCTCTGCTGTTCTCAGGTGGGCACCAGGCCTAGGGGGGCCATACAGGGTCACTGAGGCAATGTGGTTGTTCTGCATGACCTGGTGTGAGGAGAGAACAGCAAGCGGGTCAGGAGGGAAGGATGTAGGCAGACAGGTCCCCAGGACAGGGTGGCCAGAGGATGTATGCACGTCATACTTGCACACAGGTCTGGGCTCTGCACTTCCTGAAGCACCAGCTTCTTCATGTCAGTGGGGCTTACTGCTCAAAGGTCTGCCCTCTTCACAGGGTATGTGGCCTTTAGAAACTCCCTTATCTAGTCTGTCTGCAAGTGCAAAGGGCCTGCTGAAGTATGGCATCCAGACAGCCTGAAAACATGGGCTCCCCAGTCTCTCAGACCAGTGGCGTCTCGAAGGCCACCCATCCACACGCCACTAAAACCAGCACACCCGCATTTGGTCACACTTGCTTTGAGGTTCCTCTGCCCTGCTGTGCTGCTGCCTGATACAAACTGAGGCATCACTGACAGGCTCGTCTTGTTCAGGCTCTGAAGCCGCTTTCCCCAGCCCATTATTCCTTTTTAAATCATTATTAATCTTGTTTGTGGCAAGGGGCATGCATTGCCACAGCATACATGCTGGGGTCAGAGGACGACTCTCAGGAGACTGCTCTCTTGTATCATGTGGACAGCAGGGACTTGAGCTCAGGCCCTCAGGCCTGGCAGCGTGTACCTTTACCTGTTGAGCTATCTCATTGGCTCTCGTACCAAAATTTCTTAACTATTAGACAGCAGAGATGAGGAAGGGTTCATCTGCCCAGCATGGCTTGGAACCCCCCACATTTCGCCTCAGTCACTTGCCTGTCCCTGATACAATCTCAAAGCCCTTAGCAGCTTATCTGGCCTCCAGGACTTACCTCAAAGATCATCCGCTGAAGACCAAAGCAGAATGTGGAGCCAAATGGGTTGGTGTTGTTTGGGGATGAGGACCTGAAGCCAGAGAATCCACAATTAAAGAGCAAAACGAAGACCAAGCAGCAGAAGGCTGCTTCAGGGGTGTCGGTCACTGGCTGAGGTCTCTCACGGCTGTGTCAAGGCCAAGCGCTAAGCAGCAGCTCCATGAAACTCAGATTCCTCTATGACTCAAAGATCAAAACAAAGTTCCTGCTTTCCTCAACAGAACTACAGCCGCCTGTGGATAGGACCCCACAGCTGAGGAACTGCCTTGTCAGGCTGGCACGAGGGCATGCCTGTAGGGCATTCCTAAAGACTGATGAGGGAGGACCCAGTCCACTGTGTGCAGTGCCACTCCTGAGCAGGGGGTGCCAAGCTGTGTAAGGAAACAAGCTGTACCAGGTGCAAGCTTATAGAGTAAACATGAGAACAGTTCATCTAATCCAAACACACATGATGGGCAGGAAGGATGTCTTAGTAACACCAACACCTTTCTCACTGGAGTTGGAATTTAGCCCAGGTACCTGCTATGCTGAACTGCATCCCTACTCCAGAAACTTGTGTAATTTGTACAGTGACCACTGCTAGACTTTCTGGAGTCTTCTGAGCTTCAAGGAGCAGCATGGGGTGGCCAGACACAGCAACCTCCCACATACCTGTGCAAGACAACAGGCTTCTCCACAGGATGGCCCAGAAGCTCCTGGATGTTGTCCCACTGCAAAAGGGATAGGGGCAGCAGGGGTCAACCAGGACTAATACACTCTGTGACTTATGTAACTCTGTGACTGCCCAGAGCTTAGAGCCCTAAACCCAGTCACCTTAATCTCGGACTATTAGAAAAATCAGAGCTCACCTTGCTGTAGGTTGTGCACGTTTCGGTCCGACCACTTGCATTTTCTGGAAAGAGAAGGTGGTATAGGCTGGGTTTGGCTGGCCTTGGCTACCTACAGTCCCAGCCATAGAGTACACAGGGAGCAAAGCCAGGTTGCTGGGAAAGGAAAAGCTCTGAAGGTCAGTCTTGGTGTGAGCTCCACTAACTGGGAGTGAGCACAAAGGATGTGTAAGGAATACCTTACAGGAAAGGCCTCTATCCACTAGCCAACAGTCCGGGAAGAAGGCCTTCATGGCCTCCAAGACAAAGGACCCACCCTAGAGGAGTTGAGGCTCTGGGGAGGAGACAGTGAGCAAACACTTGACCGGCCTGGCACTCTGCTGGCTCTTCCCCTCTAGCCCAAGGACACTCTGCACTCACCTTTCTTTACGGCTAGTGGGATCTTGAACTCACAGCGGTGGTAACTAGAAAGAAGGTAAATAAGGAAAAGCTGTTTCCTGGGAGGCCCAACTGTTCTCACATCTCCATCCCACATCCCAGAAAAGCCAGAACTCAACCCCCGGCCTAGGGTCTTTGACAACCTTCACCAGGGAAGGCCCAACTCAGGAACTGAAGGCAAACAGAAAAAGGACATGGCTCTTAGGTCTGAACACTCACTGATATAAGCTATAAAGATTTAGTGGGGCCTGGTGGCTCACACTTGAAACCCCAGCATTAGGAGGCTGAGATGGGGATGCTCTGATCTGAGGTCAGCCCGAGTGACTGTAGTACATAGTGGGGACCAGGCCAGGCCGGGCGATAAAGCAAGACCCTGTCTCAAAAAAGATCTAACGGTTTCTGCCTGCATCTCCCTGTTTGTAAACCGAGTCCATGCACAGATGTACAGCACTCAGTACTGGGGCAGGGGCACAGCAGACACTCAGCACTTGTTTATCCCCCACGAAACAGAGTGTCAGGTAGAGACTGAGTGTCACTCAGTGGTAAAATGCTTATATAGCCCACTCAAGGCCCTGGGTTCAATCACCAGCACCACAATTAAGAAAGGAATTTGGTAGAGATCCATTTAGCACCCAAAGTTCAGCTCCTCCTGCTCACACGGCATACTCACATGTTAAAGTTATAGTGCCCAGGGTAGTTGGTATGCAGGACAAACTTCTTCACTTTGTGTGTGTTTGCATCAAAGAGGATGTCCTGACAAAGAAAACAGAGATGCTCAAGGAGGAAAAGTTACCAAGGCAGGTCAGGGGCCTTACCAGAAACATTCCAACTTGGAATTTTCAACCATGAGAAAGCTAGCAGCTTCCTCCCACATATTCCCAGCAGCCTTAGCTTGGCATCTTTGGTGGAGGGGTCCTGGCAGACAGAGGGACTACAGATCCACTGCTTGGCAATTTAAACAGCCAAGTGAAATGTAGATTTTGGCTCAAAAGTCACCAAGAAGATTCAGGGCACTTCACTCTTGAAAGGCTCGGGACACCTATGTAAATGCCACGGCCAAGTTCCTGCTTTTACAGAAACTGACAACTCATGGGATTCAACCGACCCTCCTACTAGGAGTCACACCTGAATCTGATCCACCCACTGACCATTCCCTCCTGTAGTTACCAACTTTCCCAGTTCCTGCACACTGCTAAGTCAGGGATCTCAGGTCATTTCTCACTGTACTTCCTTAGAAATAGCTAACAATAGTCATCTGTTCTTGCCATCCTTTGTGGACTGCAGGCGACCATTGCTGCTTGGCAAGGTCCAAGCATTTCAACTCTGTGGACCACAGTTCTCCAGCTCCTTCTACCTTCACTCACTTTCAGTGACTCTCACTATTACGCCTTCCCTTTTGAGAATTTTTTTGTGTGGACTTCAGTGGAGGACCAGAATATATACAAGGGCAACCACTTTAAACAAAATAATTCATTGGAAAAAAATCCCCACCACTGTGGAATCAATCATATTGCGTGTTAACTCTGCCTATTCCCACACAAGTTAACACCAAGCTGCTTTAGATAAGTAACATATGCCTGCTAAATAAGGTATACTTGATAATCAAGGTTTATGAATTCTAAGGGCTACTCAGGTTCACAGTAATATCTGTTCAGCTTTGTCTTTGCTTTAAACCTTGGCTATTTGGATACACTAAGCCAGACAAAAACTTGGATGTTCTATAATGGACACTCCCTTATAGACACAGCATTATAGAGTCCTTTTCCCAAGGTCAGGCATTTAGAGAGCCTTTAGGGATTTGGAGAAAGAACCTGCTGGCTAAA